GAGGGCGTAAGGACTTGGGAACAACTGGAGAGAACTCTTTGTTGTGTTGCAAAAGATAAAAAGATGAAAAACTCATACCTCATTAACAATGTAAACAACATGAATCGTTTGGTTTCTACTATTTCCTTTCAGACGCTTTGAATCAGATGATCAAAATGTAATAACAATCAATGTATTTTAAATGTCACTTCTGTTACCTTCGTTCAATTTAATCAAGACATGCATCATTTTCCAGGTGGATTAATCTTATTAAGTATTTATGTGGCTAATGTAATGTAGATCTTAATTAACACATTAGCAAGCAGAAGTATTAATATGGACGCTATGAAGGCTTGCAGATGCGGTCTTCTGAAAATATACCAGGCTCTAGGGCTGTCTTAGCAAAACCAAAGTATCAGACTAAGTTCAGCAGAACAGAAGGGGAGTTTTATCTTTGTGATTGTGTTGATGGTGATAGTATGGGTTGCTGTGTTTAAAGTTAGATGATGGAGTGTATTATATAACAATCATCTCTGATGGTATATGTTGATGTAGAAATTCATGCTAGTATATATTTTTTCTTCATGAAATGCAGTGAACTAACGAATCTTAATTATATTTCAGTTATAATTTGCTTCTGATTCTGAAAACAATGAAATTTGTGAAGCTATGCCCACATGAATATAAAGATGTGCCTACATTTTTAGGTGTATCAGGGATTTAAGGCAGGTTTCCTAATTCCACCTGCAGGGCCAGATTGTTTGCAGCTGAGCCAGTGCAGTGGTCTTAAGCAGATGCTCCCTTTGCAGAATTTCTTTTCTTTCACCACAATAGAAATATGGGGTACTGACCTGAAAAAACTGAGATTTTAGTTTTGTTTTGGAAGCTGTTTTACTGGACTCCTGAAAACTCATACAAATTCAGTAAGCTTCCTTCCTCCTCACTTTGCAAAATAGAGCTCATTAGTACCTCAGCATCTTCAGCATAACTGAAGTTCAAAATGTGTTATAGCAGCTTCTCCAGACAAACTCTCATTTCCTGGCTTTTTACTTTATTGTAGCTGTGGGAATTTGTTTTACATCAGCAGTCAAGCTATTGCACACATTCCAAACAGAATCTGTTTTCACTTGGGTCCTAGGGCACTTAGGTATTAGTAGTAGATATTTGAAGCATAAGTTCATATAGAAAGTGATCAGTGTGGTAACAGTGCATAGCACTGATTTTTCCACTGAAGAAATTTGTATAGAAAAGACATTTTCTACTTTTTTTGTTTGCCTTTCTGAAACAATAAGAAATGTCTGGTTATATAAGTAGCAAATTTACCTGAGGGGAAAAAAACCAAGCTATCATTGACAACCATAGTAATTCCTACACATTCTTTTTTGGCAAAAAGTCAGTGGAGTGTATTTTTGTATTGAATGGTTTCCTTTACACAGCTATACCATAAATTTCTTTGGAATTCCGAGTCATCTGTGACAATCCCTAACTATGTAACAAACAACAACAGAAAAATAAGTTAGATAAAAAGATAAGGAAAGCTATGTCTGCAGTAGTGATTTATAAGAAATGCAGAGGTACAGGAAGAGAAATAAAAGAGAATTCACTTTAACCAACACAGGTGATATTTATTCCTTGTATTTAATTGGAAATTGTCCAAATCATCTTGGTATCTTGGTGATTTGTTATGGATCCATTGGAATGGTTATTCTGCTAGATGTTTTTCAAGAGTGTTATCAAGACGCAATTTACAGTCATCACTGTTATAAAGGCACACAGTCAAAGCACTGGAGTTAATTGCTACTTAGATGTGATGTCTGTAGCGTGACACTGCTGGTAGCCAGATTTCGGGTTTATTTTTTAATTTTAGCTACAGTATGGGAGAGGAGCCTATAATAAATACTGAAGTATATCTGGTTTCAGTGTAGATACAGTTCTGCCTCCGTAGCTGACACAGCTTGACATCAGTTAAATTAAAGGCTGACTGGGCATGTCCTATCAGCTGCCACCTTGAAACTGACCTCCAGCTCAAAGATGAGGCCTGCTGACAAGTTAGCAGGGGGAGCTTGCATTGCTGTTGTCATGTATTGCCTATTTGATAGCTTCAAAGGCAAATATACTTGAGTGCTAAAACAGTCTTTTCAAATGTATGTGCCAAAATAGTAATTCAACTGGGTAAATAACACGGCAGTTTAAATGAATAAGTGTTATTTAGTTGATAAATATATGTTTGACTGAGCAATTGAAATGGCTCCCCTGGGTAAGATGAAGAAGTATGCTTTTAAAACTCTCTTTTGTAGATGTTTGTAGAGAGGAAATCACAGGGAAAAAAATCAAATATCCATGGGGTTATGAGATAAACAGACGAAACTGTAGAACGGTCACCCACAGCAGAGATAATGATGTTGGGATTTATTTGCTCACAAGAGTACGAGTTGTTTGGGTTAGTCTTTCTTTCCAGATATGTCAGTTTGTCACATCTGTAACTTCACTTAAATGCAGCTGATGTTCTTTGAATTTGATGTGCAGTAGTCCATCAAAATGGAAAAGCTTCTAAAAATAAATGGAGGGGAGTGAGTCAGGTGGCAAGATACATTCTCTACATTAGGAGGTGAAGACTGAAGGGAACTATAAAAAAAAGTTTACTTTAAGAATCTCTAGAGACAGAGTTAATAAGTGAAGCTGTTAGTGCAGAAAAGGGCATTGCAAAGATAAAGCTAGGATGATGTTCTGCTTTTTAGGTTTAAAAAAGTAAACTTAAGCCTATTAACGAAGAAAAGAGGTTCAGTGGTCATATCTACTTTGCATTTCATTTCCGTATTTCTAACTTGGGGGTGAAGGAACATGAAAAGGCCAATGTTGAGACACCTGTAGTATTTTTACCTGACTCATCTTCAAGGTGAGAATTTTTCATAGGTCATTGTTAACATTTCTGTTTTACAAGTAGTCATCTGAGAACATCAAGATCCTAAGCAACTCAGGTGCGCTGGCTGTGTCAAAGCAAGGAGTAGAACCAAGATGCTCTCACTAGTTTTGTGTCTCATACCAACAAGAGTAACTCAGCAAGAATTTATGAGAGTATGATTCAATAATGCATAATCATTAGAACTCTGATAGCTTGCTGGACTTAGAACTTTGTAAGTAGTTAGTTAAACTTGCAAATATAAAACATATTTTAGTACAGCTTCAAGCATTTCTAAATTGTGTTATTTCAGCATTGTAACGTAGAGCCATAAAAACAGGATGTCATGTATTAAATTCTTAAAAGCAAAAATAAGGATCCCTTTCAGCATGCCGGAGGTGAGGCAACAGCTGTTTCTTACAGACATGGCACAGGCTGAATATAGAGCGGAGGCATGCTATACTACAAAAATACAGACTTGAAAATAAGGGGTCATCCATCCATTCCATTCTTTGTTGTAGGCTCAGTATATCTTCATCACTTGTGATAGCTGCTGGACAGAGGATACTGGCAAAGGCACTGATCTGTTAGCCTTCCCATCTGTATTATTTACACAGCCTTTATCATAATAATAATGCCTACTCTAATACTTCCTGGAAATAACTTTTTCTTTGACTGTTTCACATCGACTGTGGCTATACTGATCCTGAAGAACAGGGTACTTTAGAATGTGTCAAGGAGCCTGTTCTCAGATTAGATACAGTTGATGTTAATTTTAAATGTGAACAGTCTGCTTCCAAAGAAATCGTTTGCAGCATACTTTTTAAGAATGTTGAAAAAGATTCATCATTTATTACCATAACTTGGAATTGTGAAGTCTGATGTTGTACTCAAAGGAGATAAAGGAGCCCTCAGTCTTATGCTGGCTTTCCAGTGCTACCAGTGATTCCAGTATAGTAATGTTGTACTCAAAGGAGATGAAGGAGCCCTCAGTCTTATGCTGACTTTCCAGTGCTACCAGTGATTCCAGTATAGCATTGAACAGGTGATTTTATGTGCTCTTTAACTGGGTCTCCTATCCACGGTGGATAAGGACTAATTTAAATTCTAGTGAGATGATGCTTGACTTCATTGAGGTGGGAACTTTGAGATATCCTCTGTTGCAGTAATCCATGGGAAATGAAATCATGTCGTTTTTATGAAATGTTACATGTTTGAATCTGGTTGATATCTGTCTTCTTGGGCAGCTCTAAATGCACAGTGCTTGACATTGTTAGCCATTTTACCTTTCTTTGCAGCTCGTCTTTGCAGCTTCTTCTGCTTGCTTTCTTCCTTAGTGCTGTGATGTTATTGTAGACCCATTAACACAGAAAATGAAAAAACAAGTTGCCAAAATATAGCAGTTGGTATTCAGAGCATTCTTTTACCATTTCAAAACACTGCCAACATAATATCTGTTTCATTATGTACGAGTGTAAGTGCTGCTAACATAGATAATTTGGAATCTATAATTGAAATCATGTTATTGCAGCTCTCTCAATTAAAGATAGTCAAGACAGAAAAGCTGTTATGTACTTACCTGCTGGAATTATATGTTATTCTGTGCCATTCTGTTACATTCATACAGTGCTGGAATATATTTCAAAAGTAACTTGCCATTTATTGAAAATAGCATTACACCATGAAAAAAAACACGAAGTAAACATTGAGCTTTTAACAAATACTGTCTGGTTGTTTCAGAGGTATCACTACCATCCACTGTCTATTAATAGTGATATTAATGATACCTTTAAATTTCTGTGATTGTTAACAGATATTTTCTGTGGTTTTCTGGCCTTTGTAGTGTCTGTTGTAAAAATTTTAAGATGGATTTCTCACTGTGTTGTTTGGGAATGTGGAACACAAAATCAAACATTGCTACATACCGTAGCTTGAAAGCACTGCTAACTCTTCATGTATTGCACTGCATGTTTAAAATATGTGCAGCCTCAGAACCATCCTGTTCAGCTGAGAACAGAAGGGATTTGCACCATGTTTTAAAGGTTGACTATTTCATGGGCTGGAAGCGAGAGCACTCAACCAGAAAGGTCTTGTATCTTGTCTTCAATAATGCATGCTAAAGAACCATCAAATGATGGATTTTAACTAACCACAGCATGAGCGAGAAAGACTTGTAGATAGTCCCTGCTTCAGGCAGAGAGAACTTAGAAGGCAGTGCATTGAGTTGTACTCACTTTCTTTCAAGAAGGAGAAGATGTGTCCTCTAAATCCTTTTCTGTGCATTTCATTTCTTCTGTCAACCCTCTTGTCTCTGACCTGGAGTTTATTTGACTACTTTACTATATAGAACAATGGTAATAAAAATTTGCAATCAGTTGATTTAGATTGAAGTTACCCCTTCAGTTCACCTTTCTGATTTTTTTTATACCCTGGTTGCGTACAAGATGCAGCTGAAAAGAGCACAGGAGGACTCATATGTGCTTAATTGACTCTCTACTGTTACTATATTTGATGAGTAAAGAGCAGTTGCAGAATGGAAGGGTTGGGCGATTAGAAGGTTGCAGGTACTCCGTAGAAAAGGGTTCACAGTCGTCTTACCTCAAATATAGGGGCCAAATTCTCAAATACTGATTGAAACAGTACGCAGATTGCTTCAGAATAAGAAAGGAAAGTTAGAGTCTGATTTAAAAGGTGGCATTGTGACAGATGTTCATCTTGAATGAATAAAAATACCTATGTTAAAAGCAGTTATTTAATTTGATTTATATTTGCTTTTAATTTATAGGACCATGGGTCACTAGGAATAGCAGCATAGATAGTGGAGAAACAGAAGTTGGCCGCAGGGTCACCCAGGAAGTGCCCCCTGGAGTTTTTTGGCGGTCTCAGATCCATATCAACCAGCCACAGTTCCTGAAGTTCAACATATCCTTAGGGAAGGATGCTCTTTTTGGTGTTTATATAAGAAGAGGACTCCCGCCATCACATGCCCAGGTATTTTATCAATGTATTTGTGGCCTTTAAATGTCAAAATGCAAAAGTTTAGAGCATCTATATTAGATTTATGCAGGAGTTTATGGAGCTGAAGTTTAGGGATTCCTGGGAGTTACTTAACTTGTGATATTTGCCTGAACACCCTGATGTTAAGATTTCTAGGTTATTACATACCTCAACAGTACATTGATAAAAGAAGTAATCAGTGATGTTCTTGCCATTCAGGTTCTTAAGATAAATTGCAATTTGGTACTCAAGGTTTTAAATCTGACAAAACCTTGGCACCAGTTGGGATAAACGTACCCAGTTATACACTAGTCAAAAATGATGAGTGGTGTTGGTCAAACTCACAGTATCAAAGCACTATATACAGTTGGAATGCATGCACAGCTAGTTGTGTTAACATAATTTTCTGTCTTCATAAACATTTTCATCTCCACAGGCTGTTGGAATGGCATCGCTGGGGTATGCAACAGACTTTGGCATCACTGCTACTCAGCCATATTAGAGAACATAATGCAGTGGCCGAGTGTTTGAAAGCTTTAATTTTACTACTTTTCCCTTCAAGGACGGTATTTAGGTACAGTATCTGCCTCAGACATGGGGCAAGTCTTACAGTTGGGAAACCCAATTCTTCTTGGTTTCTGACCAGCCTCAAAAATGAAAACTCAGTAACACTGCATTTTTATAGTGAACCTGTAGTACAGAGCTAAGGGCTGTAGGTAAAGATAGTTTTAAAGTTAGTGAAGCCAAACTTAAGTATCTCTTTCTTCTAGGTTGGGCAGTGGGTGTTTTAATTTCTTTGCTGTGAGAAGATACAGCTATATTTTCTGTTACAGTGAGAAATTTTTTTTGTGATATTGAAAACTCATTAATGTGAATGGAAGGATTCCCATTTACCTAGATTAGACCTCTAATGAGAAATAATATATTTGCAGTTGCACATACTAAAAGGAAAGAGCCTCCGTGCTTTAGAGTGCAAGGGAAGCAGAAATAGCAACCAGCTTTTGGAAAGGACTCCTTCCTTCCTGCATATCCTTGTTGCTAAAAATCAGTTCTTCATTCAGAAATTATCACCTAAACTTAAAATTCTTTATTTAGTATATGATTTCCAAAAAGCAATTGTAGAACTCCATGATCCCTTCTGCAAAAGCCTCATTTAACATTTCTAGATGCCTTGCCCTGATTTACAAAGAACTGCTACTACTTTTTTTTTTCATTTGGCAAAGCAAACTGCAATTACATAAACGATTAAAATGCATGATCTAAGCTAAAAGCCCAGAGGCTTTAACATAATTGCATTGCTACATATTGCCATATAGGGAAAGTATGTTCATATTGCCTGCAAGGAGGTATCAACCCTAAGTGAACTGTGCCCATGTGCATGCGCAAACTCATGGTACAAACAGTGAACCAATTAATTTTCTGGGGAAAACTACACTTACATTAACTGCATTTTGGATCTGCTTCCCAATGTGAGGCAAACATACAGAACTATTCTGCATTGCATCTTGTTCCTTGGTGTTTATTCTTGTCTGTAGTCTGAATTGAGAACCAAAATCTTTAAACAGAGTTGGGAGGAAAGGAGAGAAGAAGTTTGCATGGATTTATGACCTCTACTTCTAAGAATTTGTGAACAAGGAGTTTTGAGTATCCAAACTCCATCAACTTCCTGTAGTGTACTGTTTTAAGATATCATGTGAGTTACTGAATGGATATAGCTGACTGGTAGGAAATAAGGATCAACAGTCCACAACCCATGGAGGGGAGGGCAAGTAGTCAGTTTTCCACATAGGTAGAGGTTAGCATACAGCATCCTGAAGTTCTGTACAAAAACTAGATAAATCGGGGGAATTGTAGAGGGCTGTTGACTAATTTTCAGCCACTTCCAGACATCCGTGCAACACAGAAGATATCCACAAAGAATATGTTCCAGGGTGGGAGACTGTTTTGATTTTGGCTGTAATGCTTCAATATGGTGTCTTGAGGGTGAAATTATGTCTATGGATCTTTAACTGTTGCAATGAGGTAATGGCATAATTCATTGAGCATGTCTCAATTCAGAATTCTGGCGTTCACTTTCTGTGTCATTCCACCATGAAAAAGCCAGCAATTTAGTTGAGGAAAATAAACAGAAATATATATTGTGAAGTGAAAATTACTTAGGGCAACCAAAACTCCTAAGCAGTCATCAAGGTTTGCTATAAATACAAGTTAATTATAATTGTCTCACTAAGACATGATGGAGATATGCCTGTATCTTTTACAGGAACTCCAGTTGGATGTAACTGGTAGTACAAAATATATTTTTAATTCAAGCTGAACTTTAATTTCTATTACACTGTGATCAAATATATTTGTTCTAGGTTTCATTATGATGTCCTCATCTGGGAAGGCTATGATCAGGCGAAGTTCCTCTTCTTTCTTTCACTCCACCTTACGTGGATAGGATATAAATTTCATGACCTTTCTGTTAAATTAAATAATGAGAAATATCAACTATGTTTCCTACTGAGCTGGATTCCTCCTCAGAGAACCCATTTTCCAGTCTTTAGAGGAAGCAATTCCAACCCTCTTCCATGACTGGAGTTAATGAAATCCACCAGTGTAACCTGCAGAATTACTTTCCCATATTGATGCAGGGTCGGGGGGGCTTGTCAACAGGGTGGTACAGTAAAAGATTACTTGGCATTTTTGCCCAGCAATCAAAATTCAGCCAAGCTGCTACCAAGAGAAATAATTTTAGAAAAAGAAAGGCAAGCTGTTACAGACCTGAGTTAGTGAAAAGAAGCCTTGTTCTGACAGAAAGGAGCAGAATGGTTTTGTATTAATGAAAATAGTCTGAAGTTGACACCAGACGATATTTTTAAATTGAAATTTAAAATCCTTGTTTCTGCAGGTTAGGGACATGAGCTGTAAAGCAGTGAACATCTACACTTGACAGTTCATCACTGATCAGTGCTGATATGTCAAGCCAAGTAAAATCCTTTGTGGGAGCAAGTCAATAATCAGCAAATTAGGTACATGATTAACCTGAGACAACAAGATGCAGTTCCTGTCTGAGAGCCCTGCTGAGATTTAACCTTCTCAGTATTACTGTTTAGCAAATATTCCAAATGCCTGGTTTAGTCAGTCAAACTGATGTAGCTGTAAACTTGTCTAGAAACAGCCTTGTGTGCCATGTGCATAGGGAATGGAGCTCTGGAGGAGAAGTAAAAATGCAGTTTTGAGTGGCAAGCAGACTACAAACAGGAATGCGTTGCTTTCAGGCAAAATTCTTCCAACCTGTGTAGTACTACATAGAAATAACAAAATGCACGTTGTAGGCTTGAATGATCAATAAGAAATTAGTAGAAGATAGTCATATTAATAAAATTGGTAATGTATAGAAAATGAACTGTAAATGTCAAGTAATGCATGAAGTGACTCTACAGAGATTACAGCAATTATGATGTTACTACACGTTGGTAGAACATTCCAAATGGCGCATGAAATAAGGTAACCTTATAGAAACATCGCTGTAATGTCTGGAGAAGGCAGTTCATGGAGTTCTATTGTTCTCATTTCCAGCAGAGTGTTTTATACTCACATATTTTTAATGTCAAAATGAAAACTGTTTTCATTTAGAGCAGGAAATGGCTTTATTTGAAACAGCTTGAATAGCTGGGGAGCTTCAGTGTTACCTTGTTGTTTAGACAGTGCTCCAAACACATTTAGGTGCTCTGACCACCTTAAAGTTATCTGATGGCAACTGTGCCGTTATTCCTGAATGTTGTGCTGCATTGTACTGGTTGTGTTGTGTCATATTCAAACGTTGAAACAAATTAGTTGGCTGTCACTATGGGTATCAGATGTTTCTTGGGTGTATTTTAATGAATAATTACCAACTGGATTTTATGAAGAACTAATTTTAAAGCACTTTGCAAACAAGTTTCCCTGACATATGTTTTCTTGGCTGCCTAGGTCTTAAAGGGCTTTGGCATAAAGACAAATGCTAACCACAACACCAAACATGTTTTTCCTTTTTTGTTTTCCCCCTCCATTTGAATATGCATATATTATTAAAACAAGAGCTCTAAGAAATCTTTCTTCTCAATTCCTAATTTCAAACACTGTTAGGGATTTTGTGGAGGCATACAAATAGTTTTAAATCTAAGAAAAAGGCAAAGATTATGCAGGCTTTATATGCTTTCAGTCTTGACCCCTGCAAGCTCTCTTTGCTTTGCCGTGCTTTCACAACTAGTTTACTTCCTGTACGCAACTGGGCTCGGTCGATCTGTGCTATATGGATGGCATTGTACAGTGTAGTCACTACCACATGTGTCAAGTTCCAAAACTGTTTTGCTGACTCCCCAGGGTTACTGGAAAAAGAAAGTCCTTATTAGCCTATGAATAAAATGCATCAGAGGATAGAAGGCACTGAATAGAGAAATTATAAAAACAAATTGACCAGAAAGAACTTAGTATGAGATTTCGGTTTGTAAATAAAAGTATGCAGAGTAGGGTTTTGGTATGCTGTGTAGTAAAAATAAACAAGCTCACTGAGAATGTGAATGTGGAATTTGTTTAGAGAAGTAGGCTGGCAAGTCATGTGCTTATATAGAGCTTTAATCATAGTAAGCACTCCCCGCTGCAAAACTGAACTCTGAAGATGTAGTCATTTGGGATTTCTGGTGCATTTTGTTTCTGAGCAGTTTTCGCCATTTTTGTGTGATTTCAGTATGAAGCCATGAAATATAAATTATCATAAAAAAAAAAAAGTTACTGAAACTTCAAAATTACTTCAGAGATTTAGTTTGGTTTGACAGATCCATTCCCTAATTCATGTGATTTATTTGTCTCTTCCTTAGCAGTAGTGTGTGTTAGATTAAAAATTCCACAGTTGCTTCTTAATGATCATGAAAGTGCTTTTGTTATTTTCTTTTAATCTAGTAGCTTTAAGTATAAGTATAAGTAGCTTTAAAGCAAGAGTGATATCTTCAGCACAATATTATATAGAAGTAATTAATTATGCAAGTGTGGTAAACCAGAAAATCAGCAGGGCCACAAGAACCAAAATGATGATTCAACCAACCATGTGAAGAAATCTTATCTGGTTATGAATTCACAGTACCATCCCAGTGACCCTTCAGTCAGGGATTTTAGATTTTGGGGTACATATACCTAGTACTTGCTGACACATTAGGATTTGTACACCCAGGGAACCAGCAGCAGATATATTATCTTCCTTGTGTTTTCCTCAGTTCTTAGGAATCCAAAAGGGATGAAAATGTGTTGTTATATTCTGTATCAGTTTGTACCGGTACTTCACCATTCACAAAGTATTATTCAGGTTTACTCTTTTTGCTTTTGTCTGAGCATGAAATAGTTCTTCATAGTTTGATTGCATCTCTTTAAATATCAGTCTTAACTTTGGTAAAGTTAAAATTAAGCCTTATGGGGAATCATGGCACGGGACCTGCTCTCGCTAGGTCACACCCCATCATTGCGAAAAGAGATTCTGCAGCTAAAACTACTTCAAGCAGTTTCAGCCTGAATACTCTTCCCCTTCGATCTTGCCAACTGCTGAGCATTCTCTACTATATGAGGTAGAATCAGCATCAAACAGGGGGAAGGCAGAGGAACCTGCCAGCACAAGCAGAGACGAACAGCATGTTGCCAGTGAGAAATGTCAGCTTTTATTGCTACTTCCTTAGTTGACCCTTTGTGAACGATTGTTCTGAAGAGCAAGATTTCTTTTTCCCAAGATGTTGCCCAAGTAATAACATTTCCCAAGGAGGAGATGAGTCTGTCCTTAACCTCTGACTGTTAGACGATATGTTTTAGCAGTATTTCCAAATGTCATTGATTTAAGAATAGATATATGTGTGTTTGGCACCTCTGATACTCTGAAAGTTACTGGCATGCCAGAATTCTCTAAACCTCTGGCATGTGTTTGCTTAAATATACTAATTTACCTGATTTACCTTCTCCTGCAAAAATCCTGTGTGCAAAAAGGCTCAAGTGGATGGCAATCCGATATTAACAGTTCAGTGAAACTTCTTGTTCCAATTCTACTCCTTCCCATGATTAAAGGCGTAGGAATAATGCAGTTACTGTGACAGTAGCTTTCAACGTTAGTAGACCTGGACTCAAATTCCTACCCTGCCATGGCTTTCCTTTGTGGCTGAATATTGGCATCAGTTCCACATGTTTAACAGGAAAATAATAGTACTTCCATACTTCTCCCTTTGCTTTAAGGTTAAGTGTTATCAAGGACTCTATGTTGCTGGTACAAAACTGTTACAAAATTTCAAGCAGAAAGCTCAACTTTTATACTCCAGTTTTACATAGATGTGTAATATGGCACTAAAGTGTTGGATCAGTTCGTCTGTCTGTCTCTTCTACTAGAAGGGAGAATCTTCATTATTTTATTGTGTATTATTTACTAGAACTCACTGTTAATGAGTAGAATACAGTGTACAGGGCAGCCCTCTGTGGATGTTTAGTCTGTTCAGGATGCAAGATTACAGTTTTCTCTTTAAACTGAAAGCAAGTGAAGGTATGTGTTTTCTCACAGCTGTCACAAGCACAGACTATATGTGCTAGATATCACGGAGGGAAATGCAATGAAACTACTGGCAAGCAAACACATACTATTACTATATTTTATTGAACAGATACATCTCTCTTTAGACGTGTCTATCTCTGTCTACTGCTACTTAGATAAATGTGTCTAAAACAAGATGTGTTTTCATAGGGGACTTGTTACACAACTATCAAAAGATTAGATATATTGTTTTTGTTGTTTCTTAAGGGTTTCCCTTAGATAGAGACTGTGAGAGCTAGTAAGTTGAGCATAGCATTAGCTTGAGAGCTCCAGAATCACAGACATTAGAGACAGAAAAAAAGCCTATTAGGACAGCTAGTCCAGCTGCTTTGTTATGCAGAGTTATTCCCTGTTGTAGATTAACCAATATTTCTTCCAATCCTGTTTAATTGTGTGATGCAGTGGCATCTCCACTGGGAGGCTATTACTGAGCTTAATAGATGGGAAGCTTATCTGACATTCATCTTAAATTTCGTTCTTTCTTTTTTTAGTTTCATGCCATTAATGGTGCCATCCCTCTTGTACTCTAAATAATCACTTGCTCTGTTTGATCCCTTTTCCAAAGATTAATGTAATGTTCTACCTTACTTGGAAACCATCCAACCAGAAATTCTCAGTTTTCTTTAATATAAGTTCAATTCCTTCAGCCATTTGATTTGTGTTATTCCTTTCCATGCTCCCTCTGGGTTTTGTATCCTATTTGCCCCTGATTGTTCCACATACAAACTCAGGTAAGCAACTCTTACTCTGATGTAAAACTTGTACAGTGTATTTTTATTGGGTGGTGAGTTACCTAACGTTAGACAAACATATTTTCTGTTTGTGCTGTTCCTGTTTGTTTTCACATTCTGAGGGTTTTCATTCAATTGTATGTCTGGAGCTACATCTGAGACTTCTGTTCCTCTAACAGCAAGAATTTATTGTAGGCAATTACTTAGAAAAGAATGTGTCTCAGCCTTAAGGTTTCCAGCTTTGAAAGCTGTGCAGGAACCTAAAATTTGATGGGTCAAATCATTGATTTCGACTTCTTTCTCAAAACCCAGCCTGTCACGAAATACCATTTGTACATTTTTTGATCACCTATGCAGAGCAAAGATGCATAATTCTATGTCACTCTTTAAGAAAGGATAAGAGCCACAGAATCTCTGTGTTCTGTAGTCGACTAGTAAATACTAGATTCATATTGACATATCATCTAGAAATACCGTTTTATGACAAGGTAGAAGAGAAAATATAGTGTCAGATTTTGAGCTGAAATATTCTGAATTCAGGTCTGTTTGGGGTTTTGTTTGTATTCTTGTGGTTTTGGTTTTTGCTGGGGTTTTTTGTGTGTGTGTTTGGTGTGGGTTTTTTTCCTGTTTTTTTTTTTACCCTGCAGTATGATTTCATGGAACGCTTGGATGGGAAAGAGAAATGGAGTGTGGTGGAGTCCCCACGGGAACGTCGAAGTATTCAGACCCTTGTTCAGAATGAGGCTGTGTTTGTTCAATACTTGGATGTGGGTTTGTGGCACCTGGCATTTTACAATGATGGGAAGGACAAAGAAGTGGTGTCTTTCAGTACAGTTATTTTGGGTAGGTATCTCCACAAGCTGAGCATTTTTTCCTCTCTGTTTATAACTTCCCTTACTTAAAGTCATAATAACTTTCTTGCAGTCTTCAGTATCTGACCTGTTTATCCTTATGTTATGTTGTGCATTTTTTTTCTCAACATCATTCTGTCAAATAGACTGTAATGGGGTGCTGATTTTAATTTGCTGGTTTCTCTTTTAGGATTTTAGCATTACCACAGAGCTTGAGTTTAGTTCTGGAAAACAAGACTCAGATTAGTTTAGTTTGGGTTGAAACATTTCCAGGTTAATATTCCTCTCCCTTATCTCTTGTCATTTTTATACTTATTTGCTTTTCTTGAGAAGCTTCTTTACACCCAGGTGGAATAGTACCCAACAGGAGAGCTGGTTAATATTAGACAGTACAAAAAACCTGACACCTGCGAATTAAGTTATTGTTTGCAGTCACACCAGAGATTGAGTCAGTTAATTACCCATATGCTGTTTTACAGCTTACTACTCACCTAATAGTGGGTCATCCCCTCAACATGGTGGAATCAAGAGCAGAAGAACATCTAGCCTATGATCTGAGAAGCCTGCAGCTTTGTTAGAAGAATAGGGTTACGTTTAGTTGAAAACAGAGTCTAAATTCTCCAAGCTTATTAGAAGAGTTGTTGAACTTTGAAGCACTTAATGAACTTTGCTGAATATCTTGTCACAGTGGCATAAAAAATTCTGAGACAGTCTATGTGGTATTCTGTCCTGGCTGGTGAAGTGTTAAATGGCACTATATTGTATAAATTTGTAATTTCTGTTAGTTTAGGGAAAAAACTGCAAAAAATCCAAGTGCATTTTTAAGCTTGATGAAAAATAGTTGGAGGTCTTTTCCAGTCTTGCCTGATTAATGATATGAAGTTTATTTTTTTTTGTTCTACATTAGTATATAATCCAATTTGTTGGATTAAGTCTCAAAGGGTGCAGGAGGATAGCCAATATTGTTGTGTCAATAGCATGAATATAATTGTTTCTGTTAACCCCAGTTAAGATGAAAAAATTCTTTTTCTTCCATAGCTTATATGTGGCTTTGTAAGAGTTACCAGCTGCTATGCATGTTGAGATAATATATATTTGCATGTTTGCCCATAGAAGGCTTTTTCGGCTTCTCCAAAACCAACAAGAACGTTTGTGCTTGCATCTTCTTATGCCCCTATTGTGTTTAGAAAACTTTCAGATAGGATAAACTGTCCTTAAAAGAGTTACCTGGTCTAGACTACAGCTTTCAAGAGCATCAAAGGTCTAATAGTCAGGTAGACTACTTGATAGTGCAATAATAGTAATTGGACTGAAATGTAGAGAAAAGTATAGTGTTTTATCCAGTTCAGAGGTTCTTCTACACACACCTAGTATCAGACGTTTCATAATCAAAGGATCTGAGACAGCTGAAAGTTTCTCTGATGTGAAAAAGAATAACAGAAATGATGTTAACTCCCAGACAATACTAAAGTTACCGTGATTCTGAATAAGTAGAAAATGCTTTTGTGTGCCATGAAGCAAAATAATGAAAAAATCTATAGACAAGCTGCTTCTTCATGAGACAAATTGATATCTTTGAGCATTATGTTTCAATTTTTCTTTTCATTGTTTACATGAATGATTTCAGGAGGCCAAGCTAATGACACCTCTTTGAAAATTCGCTTTGGAGTTTTTTGGGTTTTTTTTGTTTAGTGTCCTGCAACTGTGAAATTAAAATTGTACTTGAATCTTTTTTCTCTTTTCAGCTAGTTTGACAGAAAAATGCTCTGTATGGTTCTACTAGTTCCAAATTCAAAAATCATTTTCTGTGTTGTACAGCTGCTCTTTGTTTGGTGTCTGAGACTGGCAGAGCCGTTTAGTTTGGCATCACAGGTCCCACAACAACATGGAGTAATAGTGAAGAGTAACAACATTCCAAGCAGATTTTTTGTTTCAATAATTCAGTGTTGAAAGTGCGTTCCACTGAAATCCAACAGCTTTCAAATGAAAGTGATTTTAAGAATTAATCTCAAAACTGGAATTTTATTTCTAGGCGGTTATTATGCAAAGTAGTGTATGTATTATCCAAATAATAACAGAAATTGTGGAAAATAAGTATTTTGATACAGCTGAAATGTTATCATCAGACTGATGTGCTTACACTTCTCAGATTATTGAAGTCATCAACACTTCAGTCAGTCACTTAAACTTTCCCTTCCTTTTAACAGACCTCTTCTTCATCCTCTTGCACAGCTACTTGCACATTTTTTATTCTTTTTTTTAGGATAAAGAATATTTGCCAGAGCAAAAGAGCTCCTCTTTGTCATCTTCAACAGATATTTCTGTAGGCTTAATTAATGAGGCTTTAAATGCCTGTAGAAGGAAAACAAGATACACTTCGTGGGATAATCAGTTTCTCTAGGAAGAGTGGTTGTGCAAGATCAAAGTCTCATTGCAAAAGGGAGATTGTTGATTTTCCTGCTCAAGCATTATGTTTGCTACATAATCTGAATCCAAACATAGCTGTAGAGGTCTTAAGAGGCAGTCCTGTCTAGCTGTTGGAATAGAGCACTATCAGAAGACTTAGAGTTCTAATAGGCGATTTTAGTGTATCGCTGGGTTTGTACACTTACTCATGCTGCCATAAAACTTGGTACCTTTCTGCTTCATCTGAGGTTTGTGATGTTATTATTATTAGGGATTATTCTTCTAAGCATTGAAGACAAAAGAAATTGAAGAAAAACTAAGCAAAGGATTTGTAGCCTAAATAGGAACCAACTAATGTGCCTGTGGTGCTTGTATTTCAGATTCAGTGCAAGACTGCCCACGTAATTGTCATGGGAATGGCGAGTGTGTATCAGGGGTCTGCCACTGTTTTCCAGGATTTCATGGAGCAGATTGTGCTAAAGGTATCGTTTTCCCTGTGTTTACAAATAACCACAGTGTCTGTTTGTGTTGTATGCATCTACAGTGCCTGCTAGTTAGCATGGGTCCAAGCTAGATTCAGATAGATCAATATGCATTTTTTTTTCCTTAGGTGTCTTAGTTAAATATGATCAAGTGGAAGCATTGCTACATTGCTGATGAGCTTGTATAACTACAACTTTTTGGTGCCAAAAGTAGTAGGCAGAAATGGCAGAAAGATTTGATTTCTGCTAAAGTGGATGAATTATCAATGCTTTCTGATAATCTTTAACTGGTCTGCAACAGAAGACTGATTATCTTCATCAATAGCACGTAATGTATATTCTGGCTTGGCTGAGCCTTAGTTCTAGTACATAGCATCTTTCTTGCATATACGGTTGCTCTTTGACCAAAGGAAGTTCACCTTTTTTAGGAAAATAAGTAGGACTTGATGAAGTCTTAAAATAAACCTTTTCCTAACTGTTGATTGTAAATTTTAACAACTAAAACTGGGAGATGCATGATTATCAAGGATTAAATAGAAATCTAAAAGACATCTGTGGATTGGCAGTATGTGTTTACTAAGTTTTTCTGAGAGTTTGGCATAGCTGTAATAGGGAAAAGATTCATAAAGGAGGACCTCTTTAGTTTATACAGCTAGGATTACATATGTTGCCTAAATTCAATTACTTGGTTGTATTCATTGCTGGTCCTGAGCACAGTCATAACTTTTTACAGTTTGTTTCCTCCTTAGTTTGTGTGAGATTTAGGCACACTATCGGTATCATATGCTTACAATTGTTTTCCAAAGGGATAGGGTTGTTAGTGTTCAAAGGTGGAAAGCCTGGTGTTTGAAAGCTTTTTGAAATGCCATGAAGGGCCTTAGAAATGTGCTTATTTCTTCTTAGACTCCTGATCCAGTCCTAGAGACAGTTTGTTGTGCCCCGCTTTTCACTGGTGTAGCGGGGTGGCATCCAGCATTCCCATGCATGTCTGTGAAATATTCCTTCAATAGCTGTTATAATTGTACTGGAGTGAGTAATTTCCATTTTGTGTCTCCGTATTTGGCTCCTGAAGGTGCCCCAGTACAAAAAAAAAAAGAAGCCCCAAACGACATTATTTCAGTGCTAGCCCTACTCATTTTAAAGAATGCTTCAAATACAGCATGCATGTTGTTTGATTACCTGAGAAATTAAGACACTTTGCAAGTATGTAGAGGAGGTATCTGTATATTACAAAGTAAATGGTATGATAATGTGTGCTATAAATGCACATTGACAGCTGTATGCATTTCTGTGGTGTTAACTTGTGAAAGTATGCATGCAGTGACTGTGTGCTTCACTGCCACCCTTCACACATACATGGCCATTAAATCAACTCATTTGCATTTTGAGTTGCAGAGCAATCCTGCATTGTGCACTGAACCTCTGTGTAACACTCTATTCTGTGTTAATGCTAGAAAATACTTCGTTCAGGCTATGTCAGATAAATAACTTTTTGATAGGATACTTGTCAAAGTCTATCTGTCAGGCTCCTCCTACCCCTCTGTACATTCCCTCTGCTTCCTGCTTTGTCCTGTCTGTGTTGTCTCTTGCCACTCAAAAGCGGAAATTGTTTCTTGGAAACTTCTTTCAACTCTTTTACTGTTTTGTTGTCAGACGTCATGGTATTTCTAAAGAACAAAGAGACTTGAAAAACTGCATAAAATGACAAAATGGGTGTGTTGACAGAATTCTCATGTTTCTGTGCAAGCACGTAGCTTCACATCTTTATACTATGAGACATACCCAGAAGTGTGCAACTGAGTTACCGTGTAAGGGCTGTATGCCTCACCAGTTTGACAGGCACTGTCACACCTGTTCTCATGTCCACAGATTTTTCTGCTTACTTGGATGCTGATTATATGTGAGAGCGGTTTCAGAAGATAGAGATCAAAATTGGGATTGTATGCATGGTAAAACACACTAAAATGAGATAGAGAATTAAATCTTTGCCAGTATACTGTAATGTTAAATTTTTATTTAAGCTGTCACAAGTATGGAAGAATAATGATTTTCCTTCCATCTGATTTTTTTATTATTATTATTTACCTAGCAACACATCTTTCAATGTCTCAGTTCTCCACTGTAAAATAATTTGAGGCAAGACTCAGAGAAATACAGAGAAAATGTCAACAAGCTCCTCCGATGGCTTTTAGAACTTGATTCATGCAATAACACAGCAGTCTAAGAGTTTCACACTGGGTGAATCCCAAGTTTGATAGATACGAAGCATGATCCTCTAGACCAGTGAATCCCCTGTTACAGAGCTGATCTTGAGGGCATCAGAGGCAATGAATCTTGAGAGGAGTCATCTGCAAACAATTTGCAGACAGTGCGCAGGTTACTCCTGTTACTTTTCTCCATTTGTGTAGTTCTAAAAGATAAAACCGAAGGAAATCGATGAAACACAGCACAGATTTGACTTCAGATCCATTAGCTCCAGGAAAATACCATGAAAGTTATTAGAAAGAGATGAACTTTTGGCCCTATGCACAGGCTGAAATACACTTTCATACCCTGATTGAAGTGGCGGAAATTCCATCCTCTCCAACACTCTTGCCAAATGCTGAGGGGGTGGGTTATTTCTCACTTTTATATGTGGAAAAAATTTATTCTCAGGTAGCCAGTATCAACAGGGTTACTCCATCCTTGCTCAGGCAAGATTCCCTTTGAAATCATTTAGAGTGTAGCCTAATTAAGAATTCCATCTAACACACAAAAAAAGATAATGATACATTTTAGTCTCATGTGGCTAAAATATGGCATGTAAAGAAAAAGTCTGGTAATCAAAAGATAATTCATTGGGTGGAGATGTATCCTGATGAAGAAAATGTGCATAATTAAAGCCAGTGGAAGATTTGCTGTAAATTGAACTGCACTGTCAGTAACCTCCTGTCCACAATCACCTGTAGGAGTTATTGATAAGAAGCGATGCTATGGCCAAGGATCAATTAAAGAATCAGGCATACAGCCATGAGTATGTTATTTTGGTGTGTTGTCACTTTTTTATATTCATCTCTATTTTATTGTAACCTCTATGACATAACCACCCAAGTAAATCAAGATGTACTTCTTACTTAGTGTTCCCACTGTTAATGTCTGATAATAGTTTGGTCTTTCAGCTTCCAAGTTCTGTGGTAAATCTGCAAGCAGGCATCCTTCGTTATGTCCTGCTTTTCACCAGTTGTAGAGTTCAGTGTTACAGTGAGTTGAGTTCCTGGAAGTGACTCAGAGTTGGCTATAATTTCGTTTCATCACATAATATATTTGAAGAGCATGCAACTCTTCCACTCCTTTAACAGAAATACTTCCAAAGACACTGTCATATACTGTTTCACAAACGTGCTCAGAGCCTCCTTTAATTTTGCATTTTAAAATACTAGGATTTGCACTATAAGCTTATTTAGCTAATCTGAAAAGGTGAAACAGTGTACCATCACATGGGATTTCTACATTGACATGAGCATAGCATGTTAAGAGATGGTGTCCAATTTGTAAAAGAAGGAAAAAAATTGAGTCAAGTAGCTCATGTCAGCTGCCATGAAGTTGCCATTTAGCAGATACTTTTAGTTGGTTATGCAATGTAATAAGAAACGTGTTTAATATTTTAATCTAAATGAATTGAAGGCTTTTGGATTTTTTTAAAGCAGAAATTTGTACCATGTTTATCAGTTGACTTTTTAATCTGATTTTAAAAACTCTAATGATTCAGATTTATGTTATTCGCAGTTTCTTTTCCTGTTCTCCTTGTGTGGGTTTTTCATTATTTTATTTTCATTCTGTTTGTTTTTGGCTTACTGGCAAAGGACGGCGCCACTTTAATAAGTATAAAAAGAAGGGTAGGTTTTTTTAAAATTTCTTTTTCTTTCTTTTGCAACATCTATTTAGTTTGAAATAGTTACTAAGCTGTAAAGTGTAGTTATCTCTTAAAATTTATTCTAATGCATTTGCTGTTTCTGCCGATTTCCCGCACCACAATGAGAGTTCCTACCACTGCCATTTTCTTGTGTGTGTGCTGTTAATCTCTGTATAAAAATGTAAAGAACTGTCAATTATTAGGTAAGTAAGGTATAAGTGCTAGAAGTAGCAACTCTTGCTTTTTCTCAGTTGTTATTCAAATTTCAGTTGTTTGGAACTCTTCTTGCGCTACGTTTATTCAGAGGCTTATTGCTTGGGTAATAGTGCATAATGTTTTTTCATCCATAGATACTCTCCTTGAAACTATTCTTAGTGTCATGTCCAGAATGGTCCCAGTGGTATAAGATGTTCTGGGAGTGATTGCAGTGGGGAAAACATGAGTTTTGGAGTGCATCTTGCTGAATAATTCAGTACTCCATTCATTGCTGTAGAGCACGTGGCCCACATGAATGAATGATGTCCGGCATATGCTGCTAATGTATAGGGGATATATGTGAATAAGGAAAACAATATTTGCCTTCATAACTTGGCTAGAAATTTTAGGAACTGAAAACAGTGCAAGCAGACAAAAGCTTACTGGACTTTGAAGGGAAAGGTGAGAGGTGATACTCAATAAGCTTTCTCCTTTGCCTGTCCTGCACATGTTCATAGCCTGACAGAAGAGATGGGACCCGTGGTGAGGCAGCACTTTGGGTCTTCCGTGGCACAGTCAAACTGGTTGAATGTGTGTCTTGTACTATTCAAGTGACTCACTGCAAATTTATGCAATAACAGATTATAGATTAGACAAGTGAAGTACGTTGGATTAAACATGATGGTAATGGAAGCAGATTGATTTGGCAGAGAAAAGAGAGGAGAGGAACAATAGTACAGGAAAAACACCATTTTTATGGCATTATAAAGAGATTATCACGAGCAGTGGTACTTGTTAAAGCTAATCTATTGTAGTTAGTGCTTTACAAGCAAGACAAATAAAACCATTGCCTGTCTCCAGGAATTTACCATGTCAATACAAGTTGAAAGGGAATGAATGGGAACCAATTGAC